TGAACAAAGCAATTTTTTTTAAAAAAGAAATGTCAAGTCTGACAAGTTGCTACTTTGTAACAAATTTTTTTGCATAAAAATTATTATTTACACATTAAAGTACAAGTCATTAACTTTAAAACGCGCTAAAGTAAGTGACTTTACGATTTTTTGTGACTGAGATATGAGATTTTGAAAATTTTTTGTCATTTATAGTGAAAACGAAATTATTGTGAATTCGAATATTATTTAGTATTATTTTTTCGCAACTTTCTTATTCGGATTAATTAAGTTTTTTATTTAAAACATTATTACAAACAAGAACATTATTTGTAAATTTGCAATAAAATTTTAAAAAACGACTCAAGAAATTTAACTTTATTATAAAATTCAAAAACATTTTTACAAAAACAAATATAATAAAAAAAACTTAATATTTTGTAACATGTCCTTTTGCTTGTATAACTGCGTTTATTCTTCGCGGCATACTTTTAATACAAGCTCTAGCTTTTGCAATAATATCTGGGCCATTCCAGGTTTCTCTCACCAAAAATACGACCACAACTCACTTTTCACTATAAATGGCAAAAAATTTTCAAAATCTCATATCTCGGTCAAAAAAATTCTTAAAGTCATTTACGTTAGCGCGTTTTAAAGTTAATGACTTGTACTTTAATGTGTAAGTAATAATTTTCATGCAAAAAATTTTGTTACAAAGTAGCAACTTGTCAGACTTGACATTTTTTTTTTTTTAAAAAAATTGCTTTGTTCAAAAGTGTAAATTTTTGCGAAAAATTTAGATAAATTAAATTAGTAACTTTTAGGTGAAAGTAGAAGACCTGAACATGATATCCAGAAATTCTTATGAAAATTGATTCATTTTTGAAAAAGTTATGTCACTTTGAAAAATGACAATTTTTTAGAAATTTTAAGTGTCCCTAATAATTTGGAAGGGTGGAAAAGAGGTGGATTATTGAATGCACAATTGAATTCAATTGCACGTTGCAATATCATAACTTAAAAATCTATCATACAATGACGTGAAATTAGGATGGAACTGTCACAAATTGAATGGGTCATAAGAGGATTACTCAAATTTGTACATCTTAATAACATCCGATAAAAAAAATTCCGAATTTGTAAAAACCACATGAAGGGAACTGGAAATGATAATCTCAAAAAAAAAAAAAAAAAAAAAAAAAAAAAAAAAAAAAAAACTGTGAAAACGTTCTTCAAAAGATATGAAATTAAGATACAATCACTGAAAATCAAACACGTCAAAAAAGTGATAGCTCATATTTGAAATTTATATGTCAGATTAGTATATTAAATATATTGGAATGAAAAACCAGAGTTTGCCCTAAAAATAAAAGGGAACATTTCATGATGAACACAAAAGGAATTGAATTTAAGAAATTTGTTTTGCTTATGGTCTCCTGGCATTATTAAACAAGACATTTTTCATACAAGGTAAAAAAAAAAAAATAGATTTACATTGAAAATCAAAAATTTAAATTGTGCATCACTAAAACAGTGCTAAGTTTAACACTAGTAGAAATAAGAGAACTTTTAATCAAAATATTTTTAAAAATAAACTCAGAGTAAGAAATTTAATTAACATAAGTAATAATAACATTGCTGATACAAAATAGGTTTAATTATGTTTTTTCTAAACTGGACCATAATTCAAAAACTGATTTTTCTTAAATGATAATTTCAAACGCTAGTACATTAAAAATACACTTTTTCTAAAAAAAAATTAACTAAAATATTTTCCACAAGAAATAAATGGTAATCTTAATATATAGTTTTCGTTATAAAGAATAAAAACAAAAATAAAAATCAACTTACAAAAATAAAATATGAAAATAAAAAAATATATTTATGGTCTAAATATACTTACAATAAAAATTTTCCACATGCAATACAAGGAGAAAAAGTATCCTAAGCAATTAAAATATTTTCCCTTCAGTGTTTTGGACCATTCAATTCTTTCCTATAAATGTATAAAATAAATTTTCTAAAATTGAACAAACTCAACTTTATAAATTCAAAAAAATTATTATTTTTCTACGGTTATTCAATGGCAAATTACTTATGTGATGATAACTTTGTATATCAAAATAACAATTAGGGATAAATTATAAATAATTTGCACAAAAATTAAGTTTTATTTTTAAATAAAAAATAAGAGTATTAAAACAAATAATTTATAGAGCTTAACACTTAGTTACAATTATTTATGATCATTTAAATAAAAAAAATGAAAAATGACCAAAAATACTTTTTCTGAAACAAATTGAAACAGGAATAGTCACACTGAGTGTAAACAATATTTTTACATGTTTATTTTAGGTTTGTACATGCTTGTGAAGAAATGTTATATGCATAGCCAAATTTTGCAACAAAAAATAAGCACCTTTTAAGTACTTTTTAAGCACTCAAAAAATATTTTTAAGCACTTTAATATTACAAATAGGACATGTATACTAATATTTTTTTTTCCTTCATATTGTTGAAAGTTCTTCATATATGTATGTTAAGAAAATGCAAAATAGTTTTCTAAGTTCATATCATAATAAAATTATTAGTTTCTGGCAAAGAATACTTTTCATGAATATATTCACCACCATAAAAACAATTTATGCACAATTTTAAATACATTCAATATTGAGTGAATCATTAAATTTTTTAAATTTATAATTACTTTACATAATTGTGTAAATTTTTTTTTTATTTAAAATTATAAATAATTAATTTCACAATTATTTAAAAAGATTATCTCTCTTGAAAAAGGCAGCAGAGCTGCTCACGAGAATGCATGAATCCTTCCCAATGAATCCAGCTCAGTATTCGAACTCGCAAGAATTTCATAAAATGATTGCCGCTTTCAGACGTTACGGACTGATGGTATGTCGAAATAGATTGTGGTTGAATGAATTATGAAAATGTTGAATGGAACAATGTAAAAACCACGCTTTTTGCATAATTCGAGGCAGGCAAAAATTGATATGGTAAAGAAAATTCATCTCATTTTGGAAAAGGGAAAATTAAGCACTTTTTAAAAACATCCAATGAAAAAAGCACTTTTAAGGGCTTTTAAAAAATGAAAGTCTAAAATAATCACCTTTAAGCACTTTTTAAAAATGCTATGCACCCTATTATTTATTATGAATATAATGAAATCAAACTATCATTCGAGATAAACTGATTTGCAACTAAGAACTAATATTTTGAGAGCTTCTCCATGAACTAAAACCATCAACAATTCTAACTACATTAATTATTTGTAGACTGCTTAATACTTAGATTTAACTGTCTTAAAGAATTTCTTTTGAATTTATTATACATTATCTAACAGGCCTCAACAAAAACTGGTAATTCCTCAACAAAATATATTCGCAACACAACATAAAATGTCTGAAATATACATAAAAAAAATGAGTTAATCCTTTGACACTGGTGTCCCTACTTGACGCTCTAATTACAAGCAAAAATACGTTTGGTATTTTTTAGTTATAAAAAACAGTCCAATATTTATTTTAAAAAAATCTGTTAGATATAGATTATCGGAATTATATTTGTACTAAAATATAAAATCCAAATAAATAAAAAAACTTTAAATTTTTTTAAAATTCATAACTTATTAATAATTTATTTCGCAAATTAAAGAAACTTTAAAGATGAATAACTGCTTTCTTTAGATCTAAATAACTGAAAATTTTAAAAAATTATTGTTTTGAAGTAAGCTTTTTTCTGTGGCACAAATAATTGCCTTCAATGCAGAAAAAGATGCCAGTTTTTCATGCTGCTTTTCACAACCATAAGTTATTAAAATGATAAATATAATAATTTCACGTAAATTAATGCAAAATAATAAATAAAATATGAAAAATAAGTTTAATAAAAATTCTTTGTCAAACAGTTGTTAAGAAATAAAATTAACTGCTGATTAACTCATTTCACTGAAATAGAATTTTACATTACACTGAAACTAAACCCATCTTATTTTAATAAACATTTTGAAAATATTTATGAATTATCGATATCTAAACTGTTTTATTAATTTTAAAAATAAAATGCATACCTGCATGTTATGAATATCAACTGCTTCCAGAAAGAGTTGTCTACTCAACTCTTCTAAAGCTCGGATATCTTGCTTTAGCTGACTAATATCTTAAGGTTTTGAAGAAAAACAATGGGGTTTATTAATTAATATTAAAAAACACTTTTCAAGCAATATGAGTACAATTTTTAGGGAAGTAGACCTACATTTGTTTGTAACCATTGAGCGATTCTAAAAAATCAGTAACATTACATGAGCAGGGTTGCTACAGAAAAAATTTGAACAAAATAGTTGCGCTTTGTAGCCTGAAAGAACGAAAATAGTTGCCTAAATAAGAACAAAATTTCCTCAATAATAAGACTAAAATTTTATAAATGACTTAATTATCATATACGATGATCCATTTAGTAAAGTTAGTGGCAAATATGATAATTTTTATATAAACGTTAGTGAATAGAATAGTGAATAGCACTGAATTTTTATATAAAAGAAAAAGTATAGTTGCAGAAAATTAAAATTTTAATTACTAGAATTCATATAAAAAAATACTTTTTCTAAAAAATTTTCTCTCTCTCTCTATATATATATATATATATATAGATAGTGAAAAGTGATTACTCAAAATTGGAAATTCATGCATCGTAATATTGCATCTAAAATTGTTGTTTTTTTTTGTTTTTTTAAATCAAGCAGAATTTCGTAGCAATAACAGTTGAAATGGTGGTCAAGAAACAAAATAGACTTACAATGGAATCTGTGCAAATTTAGTGCATTAAAAAGTGATGACTCAAACTTGAAATTCAAAATTTTCAATATTCTTTATTTTTTAAGAAAAAAAAAATTCACTGTGTTCAGAAGCTTTTGCAGGCCGCAGGTTGTCAACCCCATTAATACTGAAAAACATCGCTATGAGTACAGAAAAGTCTCCCAATAGTCTCCTTTTCTTGAAAATAGTTGCTTTTTTAGCCTTGCAGGCAAAAAAAAAAGGTTGCCATAGTCACCTCAGGCCAAAAATAATTGCAAATAAGTCGCCTGCAGCAATCCTACATTAGTAAAATATAGAACATAAATTTACATGCGAACCAGAATAAAATTTAAAGAGTGGCATTTTTAATATTGGCAGAGATCCATTTCTTTTATTTTACCAATGAATAGCAGAAAAAATAAGCAGTTCTGAATAGTTAGAAAAAGAAGTATAATTAAAATTAAATGGAAGAAATGTTGCTCTCCTGTAAAACCATTAGAAAAAATTAGATAGTGAAGCACATCTCTGGTTTGCTTTAGGACAGCTTTTACATCCTTCTACTTTTTATAAATATGTATCACTAAAGCTGTTTAAACATTAAAAAAAAAAAAAAAACTATATAAAGATTCATTTGCAGTTATCAATTAGATATTAAGAATTTAAATATTGTATAGGCTAAATTTAATTAATTTAAATTAATTTTAAAAATCTAATAAGGCCATGGAAACAAATCGCCCAGTTAGAAATTATTTGGACCAGGGAAAATATTTTTGTAATTCTTATAGCATTAAACAAACTCCTTGAAAAAAAAAAAAACATTTCTATTAAGTATCACTAGGGTAATAAATTTTCCAATCAATTCTGCAAAATTTTATTTGTCTTAACTGCTAATACCTTTGAAAATTTCACAATCAAAAGTTTTTTAAAACGTTATTAGAAAGTACCCAAAATCTGCTCCACAATGGTATATAGAAAAAGTTTATAGCCAATTAGTGATTTTAAAAATAAACCAAACCTTTCCCACAAACCATAGTTCGAACTTAGTTTCTATGAAAATAATTAGAACCTTGAGAACTTTTATCACAAAATTTCAACACACAACAGTATATACTGAATTTGTCTGTGATACAACAAAATTATTTATAATCAAATGAAATAAGGATACTTTCAACAGAGCTGCTGGAGGATGTGGTAACACTTTTAAGCATACTCCAAATCCCAGATGTGGCATGAGACAAAGTTGACTGTTGTTGCTTTTCCCTTTCATGTAAAGCTAACCTGAAAAGAATATTCATATGTTCTTGGGCAGTTCATAAAAAAGTGTGAGCATAACACAGATCTAAATTTAAGGCTCTAACAACAATTAAGGTAAAATTTAATTCACAGAAAAAATTTAAGATTAAAATTAAAATTCTATTTAATAACAGCATTTATGTTCATAAGCCTTTGAGTAGGAGACAAAGTTATTATGCCAGGCTATCAAAAAGTAATAAGTTACATTTAAAAATTTCTATTTAATTACCCTATTGAAAAAAATTTATTTAAAGATCATTGTATTTGCACAAACTATGTCAAATTCAATTTCTTTGAATATTTTTAGCTGTTATAAGGCAATCAAATAAAACTGAGATCTGTTGTAAAATAGAGCAGTAACAATGGATATATTTTTCTTAAGAAATATAATGGGCAAATTACCTCTTTTTCTTTACAATTATCATATCTAAAGTCTGCATGACTTTTTTCTCTTGAGACTGAATATCTGACGGTGAAACATTCCTAAAATATAATTCCAACACTTAGTATTTTAAGTTTCTACAAAAAATGCATACAAATTTTAAGCTACTACAAAATTGTTTTAACAGACTATTTTAATATAATATTTTAATACTGTAAATATGTCAGCAAGAAAAACAGTAGCAAATTACCAACTCATAATCATAATCTAAGACTATTTAAAGAAAAATACTAGCACTTAATTCAAATTATCGTTTTTGTTTTTTTATGCAGTAAGTTTTTTAAAAAAAAAAAAAAAAAACTATAAAAAATTTATAAAGAATAAAGTGGAAAGCACATTAAATTGCAAATATGGTGATATATACAAAAAAAAAAATTGTTTAAAGAACAAACATTTTATACAAATTTAGATCTGAATTTTAATAAATCTTAAGATGGTTTTAGTCAGTTTGAAGTGTAATTTGTAGGAGAAATTATTGCAATGGAAGCAATATTTATTTACTTCAAACCTCATGGGCTACCTATTGTTATGAATTCTAGGATAGATTATTTTAAAAATAATCTATCCTAATAAAGTTTGTTATAGGATGTTTCTAAGTTTTTGTTAAAAATGCAACATTCTAATTTTTTTTTCTTTCATGAGACAGTCAAATTCTTTGACAAATTCAATTTTTCTGATGCGATAGGAATCTTGATGTTCCTTCATTCTTGATGCATATATGCTGGACCAAAGTTGGCCTCAAGAAAAATTATGAAACCGTCAAATCAGTATACGATTACTAAGAATTTAAAATAAACCAGAAATTTGTTTGAAAAGAATTATAATTTTTTTTACAGAAATCTGCCTAAATTAAAATTATATTCTTAATGAAGTAATTCAATTGATATTGCAAATAAAATTCAAGGGCAAAATATTCATATTTCTATTTATGAAATGTCAATGTGATAAATAGAAATAATTGTAAAACATATCATACCCATTCAAATAATAATTCAGAAATATTTACAACTTTCAATCTTGAAAATCTAAGTCGATATAATAGTCGATAAAAAAAAAACATTTCAAATAATAATAAAAAAATAAACTCTAAATTTAAAGATAAGATTAAGATGTATTTTTATCATTTATTGGAAAATATTTAAGATAACATTATGCAAACATAAAATATAATTATCAGGTCAAGTATCATGCTTCATACAATAATTTAAAATTTTAAATGTTAAGAACAGAGTGTGCAGCCAAACTTTTCAACAAAAAATAAGCACCTTAGCACGTAAAATATTTTTAAGCACTTTAAAAAAATATCATAACTAAGCAGGGTTGGTAAGTTTTTGACAATTGACGGTTTTAACATGTCAAAAAAAAACGTGTATAGTTTTTGACAATTGTCAAAAACTAGGAAATTTTGAAGGACGTAAAACGTATGACGCCTTCATACGCTACGGACCGTGGGTACGCCGAAATAGATTGGGGTTGAATTAATTGTGAAAACGTTGAATAGTGTCATTTTGTATAATTCCTGACGAAATTCAACATGGTAAAGGAAACATCTCATTTTGGAAAAAGGAAAATTAAGCACTTTTTAAAAACACCCAATGAAAAAAAGCACCTTTAAAGGCTTTTAAAACACGAAAATAAGCACCTTAAATTACATTTTAAAAATGCTATGCACCCTGAAGAATTAACAACTTAAAACATAATAAAGATTTTTCCATTTATTGACTGCATACTTTTAATTGATACAGGACAGACTGATTAAACAATACCTCATAAAATATGCCATTGAAGTATATGGGTAATTAACAGCACCAAATCCAGACAACAAGGCCATCAATGTCACACCAATGACTCCTATTCTGCTAATGCCTTGCTCAATGGATAATATACCTTCAAAACAAATAATAATTTAAATTACCTTAATTCAAACAGCTAAAAATAAGATATCAGATGCTAAATTCATTTGTGTCATTACTCCCTAACTGGCCAATAATCATATGCAAATCAATCTAAGACAAGGGTTGCATTGTTTTGGCAGTGGCGCAGTGTTTTTCAAATTACTGCGCCAAACCAAGCACTCGATGAGAGTGCTTGGTTTGGCGCAGCAAATAATTCAGAATGAATTTCAATGAATGAATGAATTAATTAATTTTTCTGCTTTATTCATGTTTTTTTTGTTGCTTTATTTAAGGATATGATTTTTAATATTAAATATCTTAAGATTGCCGAGACAATCATTGATAATTAGTAATCTTAAACTACATTAATACAAGAAAAATTAAAAATAAACTCATACCATGCTTGGGACTTAAAATAGGAAATGGATCTCCAATTTTCCAGAACAAATACATAAATACCAGCCATGAAACCACTGTCAGTGGTTTTATCAACTTTTTCTGCACTATAAAAAAAATTTAAAATAATGTTGTTGTAATACATATGCTGATATAACACAAAAATGTAATACATAAGTAAGGTCTAGAAATTAGCCATATTTAATACTTCAAAAGTAACTTTTCCCAATCTTTTTTAAAATTTTAAAGCATTTATATTTTTTATTACCATCAAAAAATTAGAATTATTTTGGAAAGAATAGTTTTTTTTTCTATTGTTGGCTTTGATAATGTAAGCATACAGTTTTTCCTTTCTTTAAAAAATTAATTTAAATCAGAATGTAATTAGGCAAAAGATTTCTATAAAAAAAAAGAGAGAGAAGACATAAAACAATAAAATTGGAATAATGTATTTGAAGAGGGAATGACACCCCTTTTCCCTTCATAAAAAGGTGAAACACAGAGCATAATCAGATACTTTTCTTTTTGTTGATTACAATATCCATAAACATAACAATGCATTTGAAAAACAATTTCAAAGATTATTTTGCAATCAGAATATTTAACAACATTTTTGTTTACATACTGCTTCATGTGGTAAAAAGTATCAAATTAGAGTACAGACTAAATTTAAAGCAAGTCTTGAACTTATTCAGATATATCACTAGCAGATTAGCAGGTTAAAATTCTCTAAGAATAATGGGATATTAGTAAGCTGTAATTAAGAATGTACTAATACATGAAAACAAAATCATTTTATAAGTATTATGAGACTCAGCAAAACTGACTATAGAAACCACAGTTCAAGTTATAAAACAAACAACTTTAACAAAATTAATTAATGAATGATCAGCAAATAGAACAAAGAAAATTAAATAGAATTGTTATTAATCCATACAATTAAAAATTTATGTGATCACTTTGTTTCCATTTCGAAAAGTACACAATAGAAACTTTTTTGCAAAGTGGTTATTTCAATGTGCTTAGAAACAGAACAAAAATTAGAAAATACTAATGATAAAAATTAGGAATAAAGGAAAAATTACAGGAGAATTAGAAGAGGAAATCATAGATTTGAGAAAGAATTTCATGCCTTATGTATTTTTCTCCCTCAAGACTTTACAACACTATCAATATTATTGGATATTAGATGAGAAATGGTTATTGATTTGACTTAACAGCTTCTAAATCAAACAATTAGCTTAAAATCATTTAACTAACAATATCATCATGTAATATATAAAATATATTTACAATATATTTTATAGATATATTTGTATAGTAAAATATGTTTATTTGTATAGTAAAATATGTATATTTGTATAGTAAAATTATATANATATATATATATATATTTGTATACTATGCAATATATATATATTTGCATAGTAAAAATTATTCATCCTTTGAGTTATTTTAAATTTTCATTAATGCGTAATTTAAAATTACACACTTTTTGGTGTATTAAATATATATATAAAAATACAAATAAAAAAAATACTGTCACCACAAATAATTACTTACCAAATCTAATATTACTTAAAACAAAGTAGCCAATATAAAAAGGCAACACGACGATCAACATAAAAAGTATAGCATATAATCCTAGTTTCCAATGAACATACCTAGAACTAAATCAACAAAAATAAGTAATCAAATATTTTAAAAATATTAATAACATTGAAACAGTACATATATATCAATAAAACAAAAAAATCTAGCTGCCAACCGGAAAAAAGACAGCTCTAACTATAAAAAAGAAAACTATTTACCAATATATTTAATTGTGAGTGTTGAATAAAGATAGTTTTATAGACAATTTATGTTTAAAAATAAAATAATCATTAGAAAAGAAATAAATTAATTTAATTTTTAATAAATGCATAGCCGTGACTAAATATATTTGTCAAAATATGTTGCGTAATAAGGCATTATGAGATTGATGTAAAAAATAACAAATAAATAAACACATTCATTTTAAAACCTTTATACAAATTTTATATAAATTTAACATTCAAATAGGTTTGGGTCATTGAGCCAGAATTTAGTTAAATTAACTATTCATTCACATAGCATCAGCTATTGTTTTAAAAATTAATCAACATTCAAGGATTAATTTGAAGTTCACGGAAATATTCTATATTATTTCCACCCAATATATATATATATATATATATATATATATAGCTTAT